AAAACTCAGGGCGAGGACAGCACAACCATAATAACTTAACACATGACAAAACAGAGGTCCAATATGTACAACTTCTGTTTGGACCTCTGTTTTCTCATGCGTTAAGATATTATGGTGTTAAAGCAGGGAATTGCAAACCATTAGTGGAGAACATGTTCATCAGACATTGACTGTAAAACATTCGACTCAAATGTCTCAACAAAGGTGTAAAAACCATATTTATTTAAATTAATCTGCGAAATAAAGCCCACAGTTTTAGGGCTTACATGGTTAAGAAACATCATAATGGTTTATTCCCAGAGTGAAAGTAAAACCAAGATTTAAGCGCTGAAATCCTTAAACATTACAGTTTAGTAAATTGTTCATTTTGAGTACAGTCTGAGTCTAAAGTAATTTACACTAAGTCAGCATAGTAGTCTAATTTCTTATATATTCAATGTTTGGTTGATAGTAAAGCTCTATTGGACAGAATTCAGAATGATGCTACAGATTTGGATGTTATGAACAAGTTTATTTCAAGACACTGGAATGTTTTAAGACACTCATGTTTCAGTTATCAGAGAGTATATGAACTGGAGCTCAAGGAAATGTTTCTATAAAATAAGTTTTTGCAAAATAAAGAGACGCAAACTGTTGAGAAACGCTACACATTGTCTTCATTGCTGCTGCGTTTGTCTGTATTTTTACAGACTTATCATTTTGTTACCGTGGTACTGATCCTGGGATCCATAACGTAATACATCATCACACCAACACCCAACTGGAGTCCCGACAAGAAGACAGCATGGCTGCCCAAAAACAAGGCCTGTCCGGGGGTAATGACTCACCGGAAGAAGCTCAGCAACATATAGCGGCTCTGATTCTGGCTAGAGGGGGAAGCAAAGGGATCCGGCTGAAGAACATCAAGCGGCTGGCCGGGATTCATCTGATCGGCTGGGTGCTGAGAGCGGCCATCGACTCGGGAGAGTTTAACAGGTATAACAAACCCACGTCATCATAATCTGCTGTTTGCTTAAAATCAAACGGGTAGGCAGAATTTTACTGAATATTATATATATATATATATATATATATATATATATATATATATATATATATATATAAAAGTAGTCTTCTCATTAACGTAAAAGTTGAAGGGCTAATAATTGAGATATTGGCTGCCTTTAACAAAAAAAGCTAAGTATTAAAGCAATGTTGCCAGTTTTGCTACTTTTGATTTAAGGCATAACAATGCAGTTCATCATGATTCGGCCTAAGTAATGAAATTAACAAACTGCGTGCATGGTTGCTTGTCTCTGTGTTGCCCTGCAATGGACTGGCGACCTGTCCAGGGTGTTCCCAACCTCTCGCCCGTTGACAGCTGGAGATAGACACCAGCACCTCTCCCAACCCCAATGGGACAAGGGAGGGAGGGAGGGAGGGATGGATGGATGGATGGATGGATGGATGGATGGATATTTTACCATGTGAAGCACTTTGAACTACGTAGTTGCTGAAATGTCCTACAGGTATAACTAAAAGTGACTTTTGTTTTTTTAGTGTTTGGGTGTCAACAGACCATGATGAAATTGAAAAAGTAGCAAAATCCTGGGGGGCCAAAGTCCACCGGAGGAGCCAAGAAGTCTCCAAGGACTCCTCCACTTCCTTGGAGACAATTCAGGAGTTTCTCAAGAAAAACACAGGTAGGAAAAGCTCAGCTGGACACAAGTTGACCCAAATGTTAAGGATGGAAAATCACAGATGAGTTTTTCTCCTGTCAGCCTGTAACATCCAGGTGGTCTGTAACATCCAGGCTACGTCTCCGTGTCTCCATCCGACTCACCTAAAGGAGGCCCTGAAGAAGATCAAAAAGGACGGATACGACTCCGTCTTCTCAGTGGTCCGGAAATACCAGTTCCGCTGGAAGGAGGTCAAGAAAGGAAGTGAGTTCACCAAATGCCTGATCTTCCCCAGTTTGACTGTAATTGGACTCAATCAGGGTTCAGTTCTGTTCAGCTTCAGAGAACCTACAGCAGAACATGTTCTTCCTTCCTTACAGGTGATGAATGCACTCAGCCGGAGAATCTGAACCCTGCGAAGCGTCCACGGCGTCAGGACTGGAACGGGGAACTGATTGAGAACGGCTCATTTTACTTCGCCACCAGAGACCTCATCGTGAAGGAAGGGCGGCTGCAGGTAGCTGCTCTGAACGTTTAGCTCTCAGCAATGACAATTAGCTCCAAGGCTTTACCCAACAGCCACATCCAGAAAACCAACCAGTTTAAATGAATTCTACCAAAAGGTGGTCAGATATTGAACCAGATTTAGACCAGAAGCTTTTCAATGACGACAAGTCTGGATTCAAGGTTTGACTTTGGGATGTTTGTTCAAGTGTTATTAGGGATCTATGCCTGTATTTGATGTTGTATGTATAATTTAGGTCTTGTTTCTCTCAAACCTTGTTTTTATTCCCCTGTTGACTACTGTCGTGAATTTGCCTCAAGCCACCAAAGAGTACTTTGTTGCCATCTAGTGGTCAAAGTCATGCCTAATTTACCCATTACAAACCTAAATTAATGTCTGTTACATTTAAACTACATATCTATCTTTAAATTTGCAAAAACTCAATATTCAGGCAGTAATAAATATATTAAAATAAATGTTTAATTAAATGATTAGGTAGTGAAAATTAAAGGCACGCTGTCCTGTGATGAGCAGATGTTTCTCCAGGACTGTGTCCATCAGTTCCAGATGTTTGGAGGTTTTCTGATGTTTGTGTCGGACTCTCTACAGGGCGGAAGGGTCGCCTACTTTGAGATGGAGCCGCAGCACAGCGTGGACATCGACGTGAACAGTGACTGGCCTTTGGCAGAGCAGAGAGTACTCACGTGAATTTAAACCTGAGTTTAATGGTTTGACTGCTTTATAACGCAAAATTCAAATTTTTTAGGTTCTTGTTCTAACATTTAGGTTTCCTTTGGTTCTAAAAACAGCCCAAGCACTGTTTTTGGCAGTGACTTCGTGTCTTTTGGTTGACTGGAAAATGACCTGTTTGAAAAACCTCTGTAATGTAAACTCACAAGTCAGCAAGCACTGCCTGTCACCTAGCAACCCCAGTGAAGCTCAGCCCGTTACCTAGCAACCCAAGCTGAGCTCCAGAACATTTGGTCCACTGGTTTTACCATTGTATGCACTGTACAATGGCTGCTGGAAAAGTCAAGACTTTTGTTGTTGACTTATCATCCAGAAATCACTCGATGCATTATTGTTGGTTGTGCAGGAGGCTCCACTTCTGCTTTTTAAAGATGTACTTAAAAAATTCTGACAGAAGCTCAAAACAGGTGGAACTGATCAGACTGAACTCTCACTATCTAAGAATGATTTTGTGCAAATAATTGTATTGATCATGTTTTTGTCCAGATACCTGTCCTAACTTGTTCAAGGAAGTATAATAACTCTTAAAAGAAACAAAATGATTTCAGATTCTTCAGATTTCACATTTAAACCTTGTATTTTAATTTCTAACTTTGTTTAATTTCAGTATTTTTGTCGGTCTGGACATCCTGCTGAATTTTGTGTTTATGTTTGGGTTCTATGTTTCTCCCAACAGGTACGGTTACTTTGGCCGAAGAGTGTCTCTGATGTTCTGTGAAGTTTCCGGATGTTTGACCAAGAGACGGGTCCAAGACAGGCCTAGAGAGTCCCCTCCTTATTGCCTCAGGCCAAGACAGCCCTCTGCTAAGGGCTCCGTCCACAGCAGAGACACAGAAAGATCGAGTGTCTCCATCCACAGCAGAGACAGAGAAGGACTCAGGAAGCTGCAGAAAGACAATGTGGAGGTCGGATCTGTCGCTTTTATCAACGTCGAAGGAGAAACTTTGATCAGTGTCTTTTAACGCGTTACACCTCCTGTCCTCCAGGTGGTGCTGCTGACCTCTGAGGAGGACGTGCTCAGTTCATTAAGACAGAAGCTTAAGCTTAAGACGATGAGGAAATGTGAAGTGATGCTGGTCGGAAAGGATCCACTAAAAGATGTGCAGTCAATGGTGGAGAAGAGGAAGCTGGACTGGAAGGATGTGGCCTACATGGGTAAAAATAAAAAATTCATACAAATATGGCCTGTAGTAAGCTTAAAATTTTAATCCATTTATAAGACAAAGAACTTAGGAAATTAACATCTGTGAATTAAGCTAGCCTCCTGATTATCATCCTGTTGGCGGTAAATATCTATCTGCGTCTTCACTCCCAGGCTGTGACACAACGTCCATCAGCTGTCTGGAGAAGGCGGGTCTGAGCGTGGCGCCGGCAGACGCCCCGCGTAAAGTCATCCAAGCCGCCAAGTTGCTCTGTGAGAGCCGCAGTGGCGCAGGCGCAGTGTGGGACTTCGCCAAACACGTCAGGCTTCAGATGAAGCAGGACGGGACCGACCATAACTGCTTCTGATGTCCAGGAAACAGACACGTTCTGTGTGAAGCACTCGGGTCGCCACGGCAACGGAACGGATCTTCTTTTTTCCTTTTCTTTATTGATAATAAAGGGGTTTACAAAACAGCAAAATTAACAACACAAATAAGTAACAAAACAGACAAGACAATAATGCCAGGGTGTTATATAGCAAGCACAAATAAAAGGAAGAGTAAATATATAAATAAAAAGTTAACTCAGAAAGATGTTAAAATGCGAGCACATATCCATTGTCTTAATACAGGGGTGTCCAAAGTGGGTCCTGGAGGTCAGGCATCCTGCATGTTTTAGTTCTCTCCTTAGTGGTAGTAACAACCTCCTCAGCATGTCAATGTTCTCCTTAGGCCTGCTAATGAGCCATCATTTGATCCAGGTGTGGTAAACCAGGGAGAGAACTAAAACATGCAGGTTGCCGGCCCTCCAGGACCCACTTTGGACACCCCTGTCTTAATAGGTTTTCTATTTTTGGAGACCAAACTTTTATAGAAGTTCAGAATAAGACATTAAGACACAATCAGGACTAAAAAGCTGCTGAACTAAGATGATTCCATGTTCAAACCAATTTTCCAAGAATAAAGATTTATGTTTGCACAGAATGTCTCTGTTGTATGTATATCCAAGTATAAAAGTTGTGCTTGTAAATTAGAGACCAGGAAAGAAGCATTTGTTTGTGGAAATTAGAAAACTTTATGGGGAGTTTTCCAATGTTGTAGTTCCCAAGGAGAATAAAATTAAGGCCACCAAGTTTTGAGAATAAATACTTATAAAATTCCAGATTGAGGATGAATTTTTAAGAAACTGTTTGATCCAATTTATTCTTAATGTATTGTTTAAGGTTGAAAAAATCAAGAAAATTGAGGCCACCAGGTTCAAATGAGTTCATCAAGACTGATTTTCTGATATAATGAATCCTATTTTCCATACAAATCTATAAAGCATTTTATCAGTGATGTCAGTTGTTTGTTTATTTACAGAAAGAGACAAAGCTGGATAAGTTAAACGGGAGATGCCTTCTGCTTTTGCTAACAAAGTTCTTCCTTGAATTGATAAAACTCTGAAGCCAAGAATTTAGTTTGTTTTGTACATTTTCTATAACAGGGTTAAAGTTCAGAGCACTTCTAGAATTTGATCTTTGTTGATCATTATGCCGAGATAGGTGACCGATTCTTTTACAGGAATATTATAAATGGAGGATGTTACAGTTTTTAAGAGAGTTTTGAGAGGCTGCACATGGAAGCAGCCTTTTTTTAACCATTCAGACTATCAGCACAAAAAATCAAATCAAATCAGAACTGTCAGGTGATTTTATTACCCAATGAAAATAACTCAGAAATACTCCAAACAGTTTGGATGTTTTTCTTTCTTTCCTACTTACGGAAAGTTTATGTTTATCATAGGTTTGTGGTGCCTTTCTATCCTAAAGAAGATATAAAACTTCAGATATTTCACAACAAGATATTAAGATACATGGAAAAACCTTATGAGAACCTTATGGTAGAAAATACAATGGCCACCGTAAAAAAGACTTTCAGTATTCAATTATGTCGCATGAACTGATCAGTACATTATTACGAAAGAATAACGTACTGATCCCCTGGGGGGGCTCCATAAAATATCAATACAATACAGAACAGGGGATAATGAAATAATGCCAGGGACCACAAGAAAAAAAAAAAAAAAACAGAAATTGGAATACAAGGTTCACAAATAGAGATAAGACAGTGTTTCAGGGAATACAGTT